AAGTCAATTCTGACTCATGACAACAACGTAGGGCAGAGTAGAATTTTTCTATAGTTTCTGAGGCTGTAAATCTTCATGCAAGCAGCTGGTCATCTTTCTCCCATCCCGTAAGGAATTTTAATATGAGAGAAAAAGAGAGAGTTAGTGCTCAGTTCCGTTATCATCTCAGGTTTTCCCCAAAAGACAGAGAGATGCAAGAGTAGAGGTTGTGCGTTTGCATAGGCAGAGGGAGGCGTGACACTAGGCGGTCAATACCATAACAATGTGATCATTTTTAATTATTCATGCACACATGCATATACTGGAAATGGCTGAGATGATTAGTTCATATTTACTACAAAAATGGGATGTCACTAAATATCTTATTACATCTAGGATTTATTTGCTCACATCATTGGCAAGTTTAGGAACATATGGACTGCAGATTATAAAACCAAATAGTTTCCTCTGACAATAACACCCTCCAATTGAAAATTAAGTATTTACATTTAAATACATAAATTCAAGTATTTCATAATCATGAAAATCTCCCATTACCTCTGCTCTACTTTCTGCAGTTCAAATCAACCTTGGGGTCCAGTGCATTATCCTACAGTCCACAACAGGACTCCAGTCCACATGAATCACCTTCTTTCAAATTAACTGTCTTCTTTTTGTACTGTTTTCTCAAAGAATTTATCATATTTATTTCTGATATCTAGGTCTAAAAATTTTACTGCCAGCACATTTACTTTTGAATAAATCTATTACAGCAGGGGGCAGCTCTACCAGAGAATTAGTCCTTAACACCTAAGCCATAGAATAATTTCATATTATAACTGAAGACCAGTCACAAGCTATATTACAGATATAAAACAACACAATTTCTTCAACATTGAGTGCTCACTCATTCCAATGATCCAACAATTATTCTAGTTTAATTGTGTGTGGGGATCTATAAAATTTTTATATGAATATAGGAATAGTTAGCCTGGAAAAGAAAGTCCTCCCAGTTTAATAATTTAATTATAATTATATCATCTTATTCCATAAGAGCAATCTATTATATTCTACTTTTAAAGTCTGCAGAAGTTTGTTTGGCATACAAAGTCTAAATTCATAGTGACTCCTACTAATCTTTCCAGTCTCCTCATGTTGAGGGAAGACAAGTGTCAACTTGCTTCAAAGTCATCTGTCTCCATGAGAACAAGGCAGAAACAAAACACTTATTATAAATAATGAGCATTAAATTTCTTGCGGCCATTCATTACAACTTTATTTTAGACCTGGGAAAGTAAGTAGACACTCAAATTACACCCGTAAGGCAGCAAAAAATGGGAACTGAAGTATCATCTAAGAAATGCTAGCTGATTGGGACAGAGAACAGAAGTAGCAATTATAAAAGGCAAATCTTTGTTGTTAAATGATTAAAGATAAAACTCTTCACAAAGGTCTAGGGAAGGTAAAAGGCATGTCTGGGCTAGTGTTCCTGTAGGAAGGCCATGTATGAAACTGAAACATAAATCCCTTCTTTTTGTGAAAATGACTGATGAATAAAATTGACAAAACATACTGGAAAGTTCTAGTGATTTTCCTCAAAATTATACAGTAAGTGACTGGACTATGATTTGTGTTACATTTCCTGATTAAAGTTAGATACTAAGAGACAACAGGGGCCTGCTCTGGTGCACGGATAAGCACTAGACTGCTAACCACAAGGTTGGCAGTTCAAACTCACCAGCCGCTCCTTGGAAACCCTATATAGGGACGCTATGAATCCTGGTGTGGTGCTGTGGGCTAATGTGTCAGACTGCAAAGTCATTTGAACTGCAAAGTTGGTGGCTCAAGCTCATCAGGTGCTCCTTGGAAATCCTATACAGGGTCGCTATGGGTTGGAATAGACTCAACGGTCCTTAACAACAACAACATGAGTTGGAACTAACTTGAGGGCACTTAACAAGAGATGACAGCACATAAAAATTTAGACCATAGTTAACTTGTTTATTCCTATAACCCAAGTTTATTGTTAGAATGAATTAAACAATGAAATTTAAGTATGATTTCGCTTTCGTCGGCATCTGTGTTAAAATATTTGTTTCATCGAATATTAGGAAACTGTTTAACTTTTCTGAACCTGTTTTCACTTCTGAAAAACGAGACTAAAACTAAAATTTAGGTCAGGCACTTTGAAGTAAGTACTAACATAAATGTAAACAAGAGGATGAGGGAAATAAGGGTAGACAGCTTCAGTATAAATAAGCAAGACAAAGCTAGTAAAGAAATATAATTACAATGAACGTTTTGAAACCAAAGTTTCCAATAAAAAATAACAGATTCTGGTTACAAAATGAATACACAACAGTAAGCATCGAGTTCTGGTATGGTACTATAGATTAAACACTGGACTGCTAACCACAAGGTTGTTGTAGTTGTTAAGTGCCGTCGAGTGGTTCCGAGGGTGTAAATCTTTACGGGAGTAGAAAGCCTCATCTTTCTCCCGCGGAGCGGCTGGTAGTTTTGAACTGCTGACCTTAAGGTTCACAGCCCAATTCGTAACCCGACTCGACGGCACTTAACAACAACAACAACAACAACAACTCTACAAGGTAGGTGGTTAAAACCTACCAGCCACTCCTGGAGACCCTATACAGGGTTGCTATCAGTCAAAACTGACTCAACTGCATTCAACATTAACAAGTATAGTATCAGATATAATATATGCTCAATAAATACTAAATTTTATCCCTACCTCCCCCATTAAATTCTGAATATGCACACAGAGAATACATAATTCAAATTCTTGAGTACACAAAGTTATAAAACTGAAATATAACATATTTCATATGAATAGAAAGTCTTAGCGCTTTATAATGACTTCCAGGATGCACTCCTGTCAGAAAGACGTCCATTCAATTACACTACGTAAGTTTGAGCAGCTCCTTGACTACCCAAGTCTCAGTATTTTAACTTAGAAAGGGACCTATTAGGCACCACCTCGTTGGATTCCTGTGAAATTTAAGAGAGATAATAAACAGTTGGGGCCATATAATTTTTTAGTAAAGGAATGAAATAAAATGTCCCCTTCTGTAAACCTGATGTCTTTAAAACTTATCTCATAATATCACTTGTTATTTTATTTATTTTTATAAAAAAATTTTCCTGAATCTAACTTTTGGTTATTACCTAACCGTGTGGCTTGGAAAGCTAGCATTTATTTTCAAAAGAAAAAAAACTAACACACATTTTAAAAAGAAGAAAGAAAAGCTCTGGTTCACACAGCTGGAAATGTCATTCAGATTTCAAAATTACACTTTTAGAATGGCTGAGAGCACAGAGATGAGCAAAATTTAATAGAAGTCACAGCGGCAAACAAACTGAGAAGGCGCCGGATAAAAGGGCAGCGTTTTCGGCAATCAAGCAAGTGACAGAGGAGTACTGAGACCCCTTCTCTTACCACCCCCAACTCTGGCCTGGATCATTACTAATGTCTCCCCTGAAGCGCTTTCTCTACACTAGCTCCTCAACCTTGGAGACACAGAGGAAACGATATTACAGGTAAGGCGTGCAAAGTCCCAATTCTTCCCTCGCCCCCAAACCAGATCTCGGCGGCGCTGCCCCCACTCCACTGCTGGGAGATAGATTTTCATACCAAAGAAGGCTAAAACTTTTTTTTCTTTCGTTCAAAGGACATCACTTTGGGTACCGCTTGCAAACGTTTAAGAAAGTGGGGTCTTACCTCCTCTTCAGACTTGGGCAGGGCATTTCAGACCCATAGGTAGGAGCTGTTGTATACCCGGACCGCTCCCCTCAAGCCCTCCCTCGCCGCTGACCGACAGCCCGACCTCACCTGGGAACTGCTCCACCAATGGCTGCTTAGGGTAACCTCACGACGAGCGGCCCGGTGAGTGACGCCACCGAACCCACAGTCATGGTTTAACTCTCTCCGTCCACCTACGCCGACGCGCTTCCCGCAGTGCCTCTCAGCCACCGCGCCTTCAGCCTCCGGGTCCTATCCCGGCCACCAGGGTATACTCGCAGACCCCCGCACAGCACGCCGGGAACGCCCTACCTCCCGGAGACTTCAGCTCCCAGGACGCACAGGCTTAGCAGCAGAACTGCACACTGGGATTTGAAGTCTTCATGCCATGCCGTCTCCATGTCATTTAACACCGAGTTTCAGTACACTGTAGGGGAATCTGAACGTAAAGCATGACTCAGCGTCGTGAAATGTAGGCTCCCATAGCATCCGGGGCCTTAATCTGGTCTTGGTGGGGTGGGGAATGGTGTCGCCTAGCAGCCACTGCCGCTACTGCTGCTCGGGACCATTTGGCGGGACCCAGAGGCCGGGTGGAAACGCACTGGGGAGCGATCGGGGCGCGGCGGTGGGGCACTGTTTGGTTGGTACGGTAGATGAGGGGACGCTGCTGGTTGCCAGATTTGACTAGGGTGATTCCCCGTAAACTGGAACTGCGAATCTCACACGCAGATTCTCTGGCCGCAGGGCCTGTATGCAACTGCCCAGCCTTCCTGCCCAGTCTGTACTGACCCGCAGTTTTTGTGCATTCCTTATGCTTCAGCCCTCTATTCCCCATCCCCCACCTCAGTGCTGTCTTTACTCATCATTACCAATTGTCTACGCACACTTTTTCTCCCCAGTTCCTTTTTCTTCGAATAGAGTGATTTTTAGCCTTCACTACACACCCGCATTTGGTACCAATAGATGTGTGAGTGCATTGGTGATAATGGGGTTGGAGAACAGACTATAGAATCTTACCCTTAACCTGGATTAGTTTTAGCAAGGAGGTCATTATATTTTCTTTAGTAGTTTGTTCTGATGATTTTGGCCTTCTGCTATAGTTTTGATCAAGGTTATTTTATCTACCTATATAATTTTCCAATTAAGCTACAGAAGCTATTTGCTATTACCTCACACAGTTATAATGTGTTAATGATGTTTCCCTTGGAAGTTCTGATACACCCTGTTTTGTTACAGAAGGTAAAGAACGGTGAAAGAATTCAAGATGCCACCTAATATAAACTGGAAAGATATAATGAAAGTTGACCCAGATGACCTACCTCGGCAAGAAGAACTGGCAGATAATTTGTTGATTTCCCTATCCAAGGTTTTTAATTGATAACTCATGTGCACACACATATACTTATATGTGAATACATGTGTATATATGTATACATATATTCATGTGATTATACATATGTATGTATATGATTAATTTGCCACAAATCATTGAATGATATAACTGGAAGAGTTCTTAAATTTTGATTAAGGGTTATAAAATTAAGCAAAGTTGTTTCTTTGTTTACTTAGGTGGAAATCAATGAAATAAAAAGTGAAAATCAAGAAAGCTTGATACAACTTTTCAGAGTTACTCAGTCACTAATGAAGGTTTGTATTTAATAATTTTTACTATCTTAGATAAGATAGACTCTGTAAAAAGTTCTTTGTAAAATGTAAGTTACCACTCAAAAATGTCTTTAAATGTGAATTGAGAGTCTCCAATATGCAGAAAATTGTTAGTTCCTACTCTAATTTTCCTAAAGACTATGTAGGGAAAACAGTGGATATGTTCAAAAGTAAATAGCATTTTTATATGCTGAGATCCCAATAGACATATAATGCTATATAAAAGCAATGCAGACAATGACAGCTATAGGAAATTGTTAGAGAGGCAAAGATTTTAAAAGTTTTTTAAAATCATAGAAAGGATTAGGACTGATAACTAGTTTTAGAGGTAGTTAGAGGGGAATGGTAATATAGTATGGGATTCTGGAGCAGGAGACTACCATGAATTAAGGCAGAATAGAAAATGTGCATATTCTTTACACATGAGGTAATTGCAAATAGTAGCAGTAAAGTAAATAAACATTGGAAGATAATTTGGAATAGGCTGTGGAGAGTTTACAGCTATATTTTATGTTATCAGGAATGAAGAGCCAGTAAAAGTTTTGAGCCACAATTGGCAGATGCAAAGATATATCTTAGGAAGGGTAGACTGGACTGGCCATATAGAATGAATTGAAGGGGACTGAAGCTGAAGTTAAACATAACGTTTTGGGTGGATAGAAAGGTAATTGAGGGAATGTGATGACTTCATAGGATTAGCACTGGACTGCGAACTACAAGGTCAGTGGTTTGAGCCCACCAACTGCTCTATTACAAGAAAGATGCGGCTTTCAGCTCCCACAAAGGTTTATAGCCTCAGAATCCTGTATAGGGCCAGCACTGACTCAACGACATTTAACACCAGCAACAACAAAGATTATTGAAATTGAAAAGCAAAATAGTGAAAGAAATTTAAAAAGGAAAAAGTTGCAGTGCTGTACATAAATTTTGAGGGAAAAAGAAGACTCAAAGATGTTTTCAACTAATAAGAATTGCTGAGCTATACTTTCAATAAGAAAACCATTTGTATGTTCATTCAGCAAATACTTAGTGAATGCCTCTGTGTGCCAGACATCGAATGCATTGAGAATTGGGATGCTTACTAGAACAAAATTTTATTCTCGGTGCTTATACCTAATGTTAAGGCATACTGAAATCCCTTTTTTTTTTTAATGTTTAGATGAAAGCTCAAGAAGTAGAGCTTGCATTGGAAGAAGTTGAAAAAGCTGGAGAAGAACAAGCAAAATTTGGTAATTGGGGAAAAAAAGCTTAATTATGATATTAAATAATAGTTACCATCTATCCAGTAAGCACTGAAAATAAATTGAGTATATTGTATGAAATGTGAATATTTAATTTATTTTTAAAAACATTTTCAAATTTCTATCTTATTGGTCCAGTATATAATAGCTACTTTCTTTTATGCTACTTTATTATCAACATCCATATAGAATCTTAAAGTTTAAAATAATTTATTTTAGTATTTTATTGAAATTCTTTTCAAATAAAAATGTGGAACCAAACTTCTCTCATCACAATACTCTCTATTCAAGTGTGTTCGATAATTCATTGCAATGACTGCACAGAACTAAGAGACAATGGTGGTGATGGTTATGTGCTACTGAGTCAGTTCTGACTCATAGCAACCCTGTATAGGGTTTCCTAGGCTGTGAACCTTTATTAAGGAACAGGTTGCAATTCAGTGTCAATTCTTCTAGTCCAGACAGCCTCTCCTCAGGTATGTCGGTAGGCAGGCCTCTGTCTGTCTGAGCAATGTTACAGAACTCTTTTAGGGGTGTGATAAATGCCCATAGGCATACTTCTCTACTATAATCCTGAGGGCACTCAGGTGTAGCTCCATTAGTGAGCAAACCTAGCTCTCTCAACTAAGATCCTAGAGGTTACCCCACTCTACAGGCAAGCCTCCTGCCCAAAGTCACACAGCTTTAATTGCGCTCTGGCTCTCTCTGGTTCTGACGCTGCTGCCCCTACCACTCTTCCAGCGTCATAACTTCTGTGCGCTGAGAAGGTTCAGAGTGTGCAGGGGTCTCAGAGTCCAAAGATGTGTTCCATTCCTAGCTCTTCTTTAATAGTAGTGAGATCCCTCCCTCCTGCTTCTGAGATGGCCCATTTTAAACCCATGTTAGAATTCCAAGTTTTTACCATCGCAATTAACTGTGTTAACAATCAAAACAGAATTATAGCATCCTATCAGCACCTTTTACCTTTTCTTACCCAGATCCATCAGGAAATTTGTTTGATGTGAGTTATAAGGACTATGGTAGAAGAGCCGTATGAAGTAATTCACTGCTCTGCATAATTTAGAAGTTTAAATTGAGCAAAATCTAACCATTTGAAATGTCTTTTTTGGTTTCTTTAATAGAAAATCAATTAAAGAGTAAATTGATGAAACTGGAAAACGAACTGGAGGTATGCCTTTTGCTATTCCTTATAGTATAATTGTTGCTAATTTTATTATTTTGAATTATTACTTTCAACTTTTTATTGTTGTTGACCTAAAAAAATCCCAACATTGACAATGTGTTCATAGTTAGTCGTTTTTATATTGCATACCTTTTTATGTGCCTTAAATACTACTAAAGATTCAGCATGTAATTGCAAAAAAAAACTAGTCAGTAATTTCATGGAATTTACAAACTAGAGTGGTGTATGGAGTGATTACTGATAGGGTGATGTGATGATTTGGGGAATAGTGACAAGGCTATGGTAGAGAAGAAGCTTTTTTGAAAGCCAAAGAACAAAACAAATGTATTTTTGAGAAACTGAATACATAGAGATTCCTGAGACAGTAGAATACAAATGTGTTTTAAATGAGGATTGTTTCTCTTCTTTTGTAATAAGGTAAGAGAAAGAACGATCTTTGCAGAAGCTTTTATAGTTGTAGGTTTCAGTCCCGAAAATTGAAATGTTGGAGAAGAGAGGAGAAGATGGTGTGTTCAAATTTTAAGGAAAGCAGAGACTTGAAACATATATATATAAATATAATGGAGAATGGGCTGGAGCTAGTGGATTTGCAGTTAAACAAATTTGAATTCAAATCCTGTTCTTTGTTTTGTTTTGTTTTTTAACTTGCTTACTCTGTGACCTTGGACCATTTATTTCCTATTCTCTATTATGTAGCCAGTCCTAGGGAAACGCCAAGCAATCTCAATCAATAGTTATTAAATGAATTATGAAATTGAGTTGGTTTTGTAATTGTTAACCAGGTAGCTGTAGTAGGAGAATAGAAGGGTAGGACAGTTGAGGATGTTGGTAGGAAAGTAAATGAAGTGGTGATGATGGAATCTTAGTTGGATTGACAAGGAAGTCAAATGGGAGGAAGAGACAGTGCTAAAAGATAAAGAGAAGAGGAGTCTGGTTTTAAAGGACAAGTGGCTGGTATAGTGGGAATAATAGAATATTCCCATTTGTACAAGATCTTGGTATGGGCTTGGGGTAGGGGGCCTTAGTGAGTTCACGAAACAAAAAGAAAAAGAAAAAGAAAAAAATGAAATTTATATGGATGTGGAAATTAGTGGGGCTTTTATGGCAGGATCCCTGGTGGCACAGGGTAAAAGTGCTCAACTTCTCACTACAAGGCCAGAAGTTCAAACTCATCAGCCACTCCACAAGAGAAAGATGAGACAGTGTGCTTCCATTAAGATTTACAGCCTTGGAAACTCTGTGGGGCAGTTCTACTTTGTCCTGTAGGGTCGTTGTGAGTTCGAATCGACTTACTGGCAGTGGGCTTTTTTTTTTTTTTTTTTTTCTTTTTAATGGAAGGCAGATTGTGAACCACCTGTCAGTGAATTTTGAGGACTGATTGAGAACCTGAAGGGACTGGGAAGTTGACTGAATAGATAGGGTTGTTGTTGTTGTTAAGTACCGTCGAGTTTGTTCCTACTCATAGCAAACCTTATAGGGTTTCTGAGACTTTTAGAATCTTTGCAGGATTAGAAATCCTCATCTTTCTCCTGTCAAGCATCTGGTGTACTTGAACTTCTCACCTTGTGTTTTGCAGTCCTGTGTTTATCCTATGGAGCCACTGTCCTCCAGGGTTGGGGTAGCTGGATCTCAAAATAAGCTTTAAAGCAACTAGACCTTTTACAGGAAGCTGAAACAGCGATAGCTTGGAAGGTAAAGGGTGAATCTAAGATGTATGTGGGGGTATGAAACAATAAGCAGAATCCAATTGAAAGAGTTCCAAGGGAATCAGTATCCTCAGAGATCCAAGTTACAGCTAAAGCAAGGGGATAGAAGGGAAGAGTTAGTAAAGAGGGTGAAATTGTATTAATTTTTCCTAGGAAAGGATTTTAGCAAGCACAATTGAAAACTTTTTGAAGAAGAAGAAAAGAATGAGGAAAATTTGGTTAAGGTAGGGGAGTAGTACAGCTTTATGGTAAAGCTAAGAATGTTAGATGGAGGAGCAGAGACTTGATGCTTTTGGCTATGACCCGAATTCGCAGGAATACTAAGTAAAATTAATTTATTTGATTCCAGGATTTAAAAAAAAATAAAAATCTGAAACTAGGCTCTCCATTGCTGTTGTTGTTGCTATCAGGTAAGTTCTGACTCTGCAACCATGTGTATAGGGTTTCCGAGGCTGTAAATCTTTGCAGGAGCACTAGTACTAATTACTATGACTACTTACATTTACATTAATTAAAATAAAAAATTTAGTTTCTCACTTATAACAACCACATTTCCATTTCAAGAGCTTAATATTCAAATATAGCTAGCGACAACTCAGATTCCAACTGTGGTGCTGTAGGATAAGCACTGGACTGGAACTACAAGACTGGCAATTCAAACCCACCAGCCAATCCTCGGAAACCCTATACAGGGTTGCTATGAGTCAGGACTGACTCTATGGCACTTAACAACAACAATAGTGACAACAATACTGGATACAGCACTGGGAACATTTCCATTATTCCAAAAGTTTTATTGAATAGCACTGGTCTAAATAGTCCTAGTATAAATGTCGTCATTATTGGTGAAAGAAGATTTCAGTGGCAGAAAACTCGAGGGTTCAGTGACTGGGGGCAGAGGCTCTAGTGATGTGTAGCTTGGTTCCTTTGAGGTTCAGGAAAAGCCTTGTTACTCCATTACCTACATTATAAGTGGGCTTCAATAACTTCGTGCAAAATGGATTTAAAAGATACGTTCCGTAGACTCCCACTGACTTGGAGATGAGAGAGAGAAGGAAGGGCTGGTTGGTCCAAAGTGGTGAGACCTGGGGACACCTGAGCCCAATAACAAGGACATAGCCACAGAGGGCTAGAGCTGAGAGTAAAGCATCCAGCTAATATGAAGTGAGGGGAGACACACAAGAATACCCAAAATTGCAGATAGTACCCATTTAACCTAGCCTCAATGGCTTGATAATCAGAACTCAACTAGAGGAAGAAAAAAAAAATTTTTTGGTAAAGGAATTGAGGGTAAATTGCTACAAGTTGATGAACTTGACTTATATTCATGGAGGCGGTGGTGGTGGCTAAGTGTATGGAGATAGTAGCTCAAAGTACCAACAGAGAGGAAAGGAGTCTTCACATCAAATATTAAGGCTGTCATCTCTGTATACAGTGTAGATAGAGATGGCCAACTTAGGCATTGGCTACCTAAAATGAGATGGCAATAAATGCATGAAGTGACTGGCTTAAAAGTTTTCAAGAGGGAATTTAGTTTAAGAGTGTGTGGGGGAAGATAGTCCCCAATGAATAGTTTTCATCTTGTCTAGATTGTTCTGGTAAAAAGAGATGAGGATAAGATTCTTACGATTCAATAGTGAGTAATTGTTATCATGACTAATTGCGACTGTCACAACTGTAAAGGTAGAAGTTTTGTAACAAAAACTTGGGAACAGTTAACCTTACAGTCTAGAAACAGAGGATCCTAGGACCATCAAGGGTCAAGCAGAATGCAGGATCTTATCCTGCGAAGCAGCGACACCAGAGATGGAGGCAGACAGAGATGGGGACATGGAGAGAGGGAGCAGCTGAGGACTCTAGATTCATGGAAAGAAAGGGACTGAGAGCTGGTGGCCAGGTGGTAGACTTGCAGAGTGTGCCCTTTGGTGGTGTAAATTATTATATATGCCTGGGTGTCTTAAAAAAAAAAAAGAGCTAAAATAAATAGAGAGAAATACTGTTAACTGATGGTACATGTACAATCATTGTAATGAAACTAAGTATATCAATTGTTGAATGTAAAACTGATGGTCTGCCCTATAAACCTTCAATCAAGTTACAATAAAAACTTAAAAACACACACACAAAAGATAATGGAATTTTTCCACAAACTTTTTTAAAGTCCCCTCATATGTAGGCTTCGCACTGGACTGTTAACCACAAGGTTGGCGGTTTCTACCCACCAGCTGCTCCTCATAAACCCTGTACAGGATCCCTGTGAGTTAGAACTGACTCGATGGCACTTAACAATATATCATTACCATCTAGTGTGGTTTCTGGGGCTCAGTGGCTACAGTAGAACCTGAGTAATTGATGGTCAATTCTTTCTAGCTCTAGATGGTTCAGGACAAACCTGGGGGATGTCAGCTTTGAACTAAACTAAAACTAGTTAAAATTTTAAAAATGCTTCTTAAAGTAATATTATTTTGAGCATATGCTGCTGAAGCATAATAAAAACTTAAAGTCAAAGTAATATTTTATTAGTGATTCACTTGAGTCTTCAAATGGAATGAGATTCTTTTATACTTTTGTTCTATGACATGAAGATGGCACAGCAGTCTGCAGGTGGACGTGATACTCGGTTTTTACGTGATGAAATCCGCCAACTTGAAAAGCAGCTGGAACAAAAAGATAGAGAATTGGAAGACATGGAAAAGGAATTAGAAAAAGAAAAGAAAGTTAATGAACAAGTAAGCCACATTTTTAAAACAACTCTTGATTTTTCAAATTACCTAACTAGAATGTCTGATCATGTAATGCTATCAATTTTCATGTGTATATGCTGTAATTAAGAATGATGGACACTTATCTCTAAGGTTAATATTACTGTTTAATTATCTTTACTCCTTTAAAACATAATACAGTAGACACTTATGGTAAATATGATTTAGAAGTTATTTTGCTTATATCTGGAGGCACATTTTTCACAGAACATGAATAAAACCCAACCAATTGTCACAAGTTGATTCTGCATATATGAAATTGATGCTTTTGTTTTAGTTATTGATATGTTCTTTTTCTGAAGAAGCTAATAGACATTCATAAACTTGAGCTTATTATGGGAAAAATATTTATCTGTACTAACATCTTCAGGAATAGACTTAGAAATTCATCTTTTAATGACGTATTCCATAATGATCAATCAAATTCCTTATTTTCAGGTGTATTTTACTTTTTATATGTATGCAATTTTGAAAGTTTAGGTAATGCCAGTCTTTTATAAATCAATTCATATAAAATCATGACTTATCATCTCTTTTACTTAGCATAGTTTATTACCTCTTATGCTTTTCATTGTAATTTTAAAGTAATTCATATAGTGTTTATTTATATTCAGTTTGAGAAAATACTGGTTTTGTAGATAAAATTCCTTTCAGAAAACATATTTCTTATTTTTTCTCAGCTGTCAGTAAACTTAGGACAGAATATAGTGCCTCATTATGGTAGCTACGTATCCCTGATGACTAGAGGTGTTTTTACATTTGTGGCCTTTATTGTTGTTGTTGTTGTTATGTGCTGTGGAAT